GATATGTTAAAGGTTTTGTATGCACTATGCAGTATATGTATCACAATTTCATCAATCAAAGAAGAGCTAAAAATTAACGTAGTAAATTGCAGCAGATAGGTATGCATGGAATGAATTAGAATTCCAGTTAGATTTTGTTGATGTGACGAAGGAAGCCATATAAAACAATTATTGGTACCATTACATACATTTTAAATATTATTTTTATATTTAATGCACCATGTTTTACTCTAAACTTAAAAAAAAAAAAAAAAAAAAAAAAAGATGTAAGCATTTTAAATCATTTTGAATAACCATATACAGATATACGAGTATACAAATTTTCTCAAATGATTATTATTAAATTAATTTTATAATTATATTATTCAACATAATTTATAGTAAGACAAAAAAAAATATAAACTTTAAAATAATACATATAATTTCAGTAAAACTTATATTTACAGTGAAAATATTAATCAAAGTTTTAATTTAATTTAAAATAATATATTAATAGTTATAAGTACAGTTTGGTATTAAAAAACACATTATTCTCTATTGCACAAAAATGAAAATTCCATTTATATTTTTCAGATTATTTTTATCCTTTTTTTTATTCATTTTTTTTTTTTTTTTATCATGTTCTCAGTGCACTTTAAATCCGAGGTCTAACCAAACTCTGATCCTTCCATAATATTAAATATTAACGTCTTATTGTAGTATCTTTATTCACACAAAATCCTTCGTTTTCTTTATGTTAAAAAGTAAATACGCAATATGTAAAATTTAATATTTTTATTTTTACACTATAGTATAAATTTATATATCCATAACCATAATACTATGCAGATTTTTATTTTATCATTAAAACATATTTATTTATTTTTTTCCAGCGACGTCGTTAGTTATAATTATTTCACAATAAATGTACATTGTCATAATAATATTATCTTTTAATAAAATAAAATATGATAGTATTTATTATTGATTTATATCACTTTATTTTTTTCAGGAACTTGTTATATTAAAATTAGTAAAAAAAAATGTGTAATTAACACATTTAGCTGCAACAATTTATTGGGAATTTCATCAAACAATTTGCAAACACAATTTCTTTTATATGTAATGAATCAAACGATAATATAACAGTTTAATTTTTACAAGGATTTAAGTTCTAAAATAAATCGTATAAAATATACAAATACAAATAGTAGTTAAAATTATGTACTATATAGATACATAATCATCATAACAAAATGGCTGGAAATCAATTTTAAACATCATATGCGCGCATTCTCATGCATTTCCGCACTCGCTGTGTTAGTTAGGTTATTAGGTAATTTATTTAATAATATAGGCAATATTATTATGTTTATGTATACATATAGTGTTCAATAAGTTTGGAAACAGTTATTAAACTAATAGAGGCTGCTGAACGATAGTATGATGTTATATAATAAATTATATTATTAAATATTTTACATTATAAAATAAATATTCAGCAGTGTTATTTGTTATTGCTCCATGCTGGTATTAAAATATACAATATGCATACAGTAATTATTAAGAGTATATAAAATTATTAAACACTTGATAAAACGCAGTTCAACATTTAAATTAAATTTTCCAGTGCGTGTAAATGACGTGAGCATATTATGGCACAATGTTGTCAGATGAGAATAAAATTGAAATCATTCACCAACAACTCGATATTATGAAAGATACTATAGTATATTGTATCGTACATTTATAGTTTGATGCATAATAATTGTAAATTATGTTAAAATGAAATATACGACTGTAAGACAGTCTAAATTTTATAAATTATACTAAAAAAAATTCAAATACTAACATAATATCATACATGAAATAATTTATGAAAATCATACAGTTCGTATAATTTGTTATTATATTAGATAACATATTATAGAAATATTTTCAAGAGTCGAAAATTTTGTTTACGCAATATTCAAGTTTGATATTAAATTTTAAATTATAAATTGTACTCTGAAATTTGTCTTGGGTATTTGTTAAAAATTAAACTTTTGTAATTTAATATAATTCACTAATTTGATTGTAGTCAGTAGTATTATGACTGCATTATTGTTATTATACCCAATAATGTCTATTATAAAATATAAAATTTGATGAGGCGATGATGAAAAATTCAAATATCCGATACACCAATTTATTGCTTTTATATAAATATAATTTAACCAGAAGCGATATTTTAATATGCAATACTTATAAGATAAATGGCAATTTCTGTAACGTTGTATTAAATAATAAATACTTTTTGATCTCACTTTTAAATACTAAGTTAAAAGTCATGATAAATTATTAAGACCAAATAGTACAAAGCAAACACAGAATACATTGACATTAATTTATCGTAATACAAAATAAGGATCAAGTAAAAAGTTTGTCATAGATATCGTTTTTTTCGCAGCGTCAATACCATCTAACCACGTAAAGAATAAATATTTATAAACGGCTTTATATTATAATAATGTAACGTCTATATACATTATATTAAATATTCAAATCCAAAAAACGCTCGAAAATAACTATAGGTAAGTGCCTGCAACGTTCTAATAATAAACACTGAACAACGTGTTATGAATTGTTGCGATACGACTAATATAGGTTCACAATATTCACAACAATTTAATCTGCCATTTTATGTTTTTCTTAAAAAAAAAAAAAGTAATAATAATAATAATAAAAAACTATTTATATATATATATATATATATATATATCTGGCAGTTTCATAATTTTTACAAAACGGACCTATAATCAACATCGCCAATATCTTCCGATATTTCAATAATATTATATCGATCTGTCTGCCTCGAGCTCATCTTTAAACCTTATTATCATAATAATCGCAATATATTGTGTACAGAAAACCGCATGACATGATATCATTATGTTATACGACGTTATGTATAGTGTTCGCGCGCGTGGCATTTGACGTGTTTGTATTTTGTCAGTTTGTGCCGGGCGGGTAATCGTTGTAATTCTCTAGACAGCCAACACGCACAGTACCACATGCAATCGGTTGAACGAAGTCGCAGCTGTGCACTATACAGAGGCGTAGATGGCAGACGTTATCTGCGTAATAACAATATTACTTTCTGCGCCGTTCACGTGGGATGATGTGAAAAACGTTTATTTTAAAAATAGTACCTATAATATATTGTATATTATTGTGTACAATAACAACAATAATAATAATAATAATAATAATAATAATATGGATCCTTGAAATTTCGTGGGATTTAAATGTGAGACAATAGATATTGTGGACAAAGAATTTCTTACTTTGTGGAAAACTAAGATATATAATATTGTTATGGCGAGGAAAAATTATTAATACGCTCACGCGTCTCGTCAGAAATGTGATTAATAATGGTCACGTGAGATGGTACGGTCACAAGTTCTCATTTCCGTGATCAACCCGTGTTATAAATAGCTAAATAGTAAATTCAAACTAATGTCTGAAACCATGGATTCGACGGGTTAAGAATTTCATTACCTACATAATAATATTATATTGTATCAGTAACATGACAACACATCTACAACGCAAATACGTACTCCTCGACTATAGCTTATTGTTTGCATTGTTTGCAATGATCACTCACACGTATTTTGGTCCTGAATTCTGACTGATCATAAATACGTGCGTGGGCGTGCACACACACACACACATACAGGAGAAATTTATTGTTGGGTACTCTTTGAAACGAGATTTTCTTTAAACAAAAATAAGATTTGTATATTATTGATCACATCTACCTAACCTAACCTAACCTCCAAATAATCCATATTACGTATTATTTATTTTAATATAATATAAATCGTATAATAAGTACTATTTTAAAAGGTATGCTAATATACCTAGCAATGAATATAACTATAATATAACATCATTAGTACCAAAAAATCTAAATTTACTACTGATATTATATTTAAATTAATAAAATTAAAAATATATTTTTCAATGTTATGAGTAAAATCCAAAATCAAGTATAAATAAAAAAAAAAAACAAAATAATAATAATAATGTTTAAAATTATTATACTTAACATGAAATAACTATCATAGTCTATAGGTATTAAATTTAGATAATTTAAAAAGTCAGCTTTAATCGCCATTTACTTTGCTAATATTCGTACTGTTTATTTTATATTTGGTTAAATTGTTATAATATGTTAGGTAATCCAAAAACAGATAGTAAATGTACTTCCGAAATTTATTGATAAGCGTTTAATTTGATAAATAATACTGTATTGATACGTAATTTATTCGCCATTAACATTTCCATGTAAATTCAAAAGTAAAATTGATTGATGATAATTATATGACAAAATATACTACCCAGTTATTTTATCATTTAAAGTAAGAGATATAATTATTATAGTTATTGTAAAACGTATATTATCTACCTATAAGTTAGATATCTGATCAAAATACGATTCTAAAACAAAATTAACCTGTTTTTATTTTTATTTTTTTTTTTCAGTATTTCCAAGAATTAACAGACATCAGTATTCACTATCTAGATTAAACTATATTATATCATATATTTACCGAATAAATTATCGATAATTGTTTAGATTTATTTATGACAGATTTTATTGAAAATGTTTTAACAAAAGGATTAAAAACAAAAAATAATAATTACGAGTATGTAATTGTTGTTTATTTTATAAATAGCTTTGCTATATTTTATCCATAACTATTCATAAAGATACAACACACATTATATGTAATGTAATTTTGTTAATTTATAATGATATTATAGTGTATCTCCTAAGTTTAAACTATTTAGTTATAAACCTAATTCATTGATTCGCGATAAAAAAAAAACTGCATTTGGCTTACATATACATTTTAACATTTTATTTAGATGCCAGTTTTCAGAACATATTTCCGGCTATTTTACTTTAAATAGTTTTAATACATATTATAATATTTATTTTTATATTATATTAGACATGTCGTAGAACATACCTTTGGAATGAATGGTAATGATTCTTTCAGTGTTATCTTGTAAAACTGACACTTTTGTACTAGATCTTTCATATTTATAATATCCAGTGTTTGAATAGTTTCCACAAAACGATCGCTGTAAATAAAATATTTTTTGTTATTTATTAATAATATGTATTATATACATAAGTAAGATATCACTTAAAACGCGTATAAATAATTATATTTAATGATTTTTATATAAAAAACTTCACATTACAAACTGCATTATTTGTCTAAATTATTTGTGTACAAAAAAATAATGTAGTGATCATTCAAATTCTGGATTTAATATTGAATACTTAAAGAGTTAAAAAATATTTTTTATAAAAACTAAGATAATTACCTATTGAAACAGTAGAAATGTTTCAAACTTGGGTTTTAAACGTTAAGAATGATTTTAAATATTAAATTGCATCTAGTTGGTGCTTTGAGAATTTCAAAAGTAAAAATTCTTAGTATTTCTTAAAATAATTAGGAAAACTATACTAAAAGGACATAATTTATTAGTTTTTTCCTTTCAGGCCCCAATCTGTGTGCAATTGAAAATTTCCATTGAGTTAAAAGTTAAACCAATTATGTGTTGTTATTTTTACTATTAGAGTGAGCTGACTTATTATCAAACATAATGACGAGAGCGTTATTTTTATTTATACATAAACTTGTTTATAATATTTAAATTTTTTATGTACTTTTAAGAGTACATAAAATATTAATATTTAAAAAAGCTTATAAAAAAAAATTAAAATATCATAAAGAATCATAGATCATTTTCATAACTTTAGGTTTGATAATAAATTTATACTATTCATAAGATTTTTAAAAATGTAAGATTGATATTGTTGATCGCTAATTTGCTTTGTCACGCATACGCTGAAGTATAAAAGTGTGTTGACATTATCTTAACAATTTACAGTAAAATACAGTAACCATTTAAATAAAAATTAAAATAAAAACCTTATCATAATTTATTAGATATTTAATGGTATATAAAAGACTCCAAACTAGTATAAAAAATTTTGATACTTAAATATATTTAAAAATTGAAAAAATTAAAATTTGAATAAATGCATCATTAACTAATAAAATGATGTTATATCACTTAGTAAATTGACCTGTGTATTATATGAAGTGTTGTATTCAAATCAATGATAATATTCAAATAATAAAATAATTAATAATTTATTTCCATTGGCTTCCAATATTTTATAATTGTGACGATACAAATACAGCTAAATGTAAATCATCTTATTTTCAAATTTAATTTGCTGAATAGGACCCTTGTTAAAAATGTTAGATACTTATGAGAGTTGGGCAATAGGCTGTACTACCTAAATATTTATTCGATGTTTGTGAAAATAAATGCAGCGTTTTTCAATAAATAGAAAAAAAAAGTATCTAAAAGTATCTATAGTTACATTATTTATTGATTTATTTTACGTTTTATTCATATATTTTGCAAAAAAATAAAACATCAATTAATAGCCAGAACTAATTATTATTTTTTACGTTTGTTTTTCTTGAAAAAATCTTTAATAATTTACAAGCTATTACTATGCTTAAAGGGTCTCCAGGTAACTCGCAATTAAATATAGTTCAGTGTAATGGATGTGTTGAATATGAATTTAATGTAAATCGTTTTGTTCAAAAACATGATTTGAGCTATTGAAACGAAAAAAATCAGCATTTATTTAATAAGAGTTGGGTAGTTAATTCCTTAATTTGGTAGGTTAAACTAATTTTTGAGAAAAAAGAAATACAATATTGATTAACAAAATATATAGGAACGGATAAGTCGTATATTTTAACATTGAAAATTAATCGGATTATTGTAAACAATACATCAGTTATTTGAAATAATATTGAAGCTAAGGTACTACTGTACTATTACTGTACTACATAATCTTATCTTAACTCCGTTAGATATCGATACTGAATTCTATTTGTTCAATTCATTTCATTTATTATTAATGTTCTTAAAGGTAAGGACAGTACCTACTATGCTCTTTATTGTTATTGTTGAAGTTCAACTTAGGTGTGCATACGTAAAGGTGGTTAGCATTGGATTTGAGAAATATTATTCTTATGAAAGCATGGTTATCAAGTTACTCGACACAAAAAAACGGATAATTTACATAACAAATAAAATAATTCATTAGTTTTCATAGTAGATATATTTTTTTTTAATTATACATTTTTCTTCATAATTAATCGCTTAATTGAAACATTTCATCTTAGAAAAAAGTATTCCTTACAACGGTTTCTACTGTATGTTCAATATGTTTCTCAATTCATTCAAAATCTAATATAATTTAGTTAGGAAGTACTAAAAATGATATTGAAATATTTTTTAATCTTTACTTTTGAGATAAAGAATTAACATTTTTTGAACCAGTAAGAATGTATTTTTTTAAATTAAAACTAATGCTCTTTTTTTTTTTTTTGTACTTTTATGATTTTTCTTTTGTGTTAAATTGAGTTTTTTATCCCTTATTCTAAAAAGAATAATTCACAAAAATATGTGACTACAATAGTACAAAAATCTAAATAAATTAAATAAAACCACTAGCAAGTGTAAAAAGAATACATTCTTAGAATTTGTAGTTTCAAATTTTTTTTTTCTCGGGAAAGTAATTTACAAGCGGTTCCGACCACCATTAGCAATGTCACAACAATAATAAAAAAATATAGTATTTTCATTGGTGAAATTCAAACTATATAAAACAAACATTACAATATTATGTACGAAACTACAATAAAGAAGTACAAGAGATTATATATTTATTATATTTGTTCTTATTATTGAATTTACGGATAAAAATTACTTAGTATAATTTTGTACGTTTTACTAATTAGTTTAAAAAGAGTAAAAACAATCATAGTGAATTACTTGCAGTGGAATAAGAAATGCGATTATTGATCTTTTGCTAAATTAGGTCGTTTGGTATTTTTAGATTAACTGAGGACTTTCATACAGGAACGGGTATTTCAACAGTAATTTTAAAAGGGATGCTAGAGTTTACTTTACTGGTCAGTTTAAATTTTTCCGTCCTTACTGTTTAAAACTGTGTCAAAAGGTCATCTTTATTTTTTCTGAAAAATTTGTTATTTTTTAATAATAGAAGGTTCATGTTTATCTCATGCTTGCCTCAAAGTAATTTTAACGCATAGTATAAAAAATATTATATTCAACTAAACATATTACTTACTGAAAATTGATAATTTAATAAATTTTAATTATTATTGCAATTGGTCAGTATACACGTTAGTTAAAAATAAAAATAAAAACTCGGTTTACGTTTTGAAATTGTTCGCAGTTTTGCTAAAAATTATAGAAGTTTTTTATTCTAAAAGGCAAAGTTATATAATACTATATAGCTTTCTAATTTTAAAATAACAATAAGATTCAAAGTAACTAGGTATAAATTGCAGTTATAAATTCTATAATTATAATTATAAATGCTAAAAAAACATGTATATTTGCTGATTATCATTTTCAATTATATTCAAGAAATTTATGAAAATAGTATTTCCAGAAACTAATTAAAACATAAATAGTTATGCATTTATGATTATAAAGAAGTTAATAACAATCTTGATTCTAAAATTGTAATTTAATTTTTCTTGATTTTGTAAACTCTATTTATACGTATGCGTATTATTATTATTACAAATTGTCAATGATTATTCATAATCAATATTTTTAATTATTTTATTATCACCACAAGATTTGCTTTAAATTATATTATTATTACATTTCTATTAAGATTTGTCATTTCACTATTTTATTTTTAATAAGCTATATGACCAATAAATAATATTATGCATTTCCAAGATCAGGTTAGTAAATCTTATACTTAAATAGCATTTCTAATTTAAAACTAACTATTATTTTTTATAATTTTGAGTATAGTATTAAATTAATAGTTTTTAATATTAAGCTTATTTTAAATTTCATTATTTTATTATTATAAATATATGTATTATTTTATACGTATGCAACTGGTTTAATATTTAAAGATTATCCTTATTAATTATTTGTAAAAAAATGTGTATTTAGTTTTCTAAATTGTATCTATACTTATTAATTATTTGTTTTTAAAACGCTTGATTATACGAATTAAGTATTTTAATAAATCATTTTTGTATTACATCACATATTTTTAGTTTTTGACCAGAAGGATGGATAAAGAACTTTTTTTTTTAGAAGAAAAATGTTATACTATAATATAGGGAGATTCGCGGTATTAAATTTAATCTAGTTTAAACTTTTGGGAAGAAGAAATTTTCCAGTTATTTTAAAATGATAAAAAAATAAAAAAAAATATAATGGATTTGTTTTAAAATTGTAATATTGGTAATAAAATAATATATTGGAACCTATATTTAACAATATGTTAAATTTTCTCTACTTGGAATAGTTTTTCATTTTCAGTATCAAAATATTTTGTTTAAACAATAAGATAATTTTCAATACCTAATTAAGAGTGAACAATAATAAGTTCATATTGTTTGATTTATTTAGTACATAACTAAATGCATATGTTATTTTTTCTTTAGTTATTCAATTCTGAGGGCTAGTTAAAATTTAAATTTATAAATGAACCATTAATTTTGTTCTCAACCACTTATATTCAAAACTACTGGATTGTTTTTTTTTTTAACCCTAGAATCCAAGAATCCAACTCACACATTAATGTTGTTAAAAAAAAAAAAAAAATGAGTTATATTTTTTGTTTCTTCCAGCATGTAACCAGTAGTAACCAAAAATAAACGAATATTGAGTAATGATTTTAATTTTAATTAGGTTGTCAAGGGCACGAAAGTCTTTTTTTTAAAATGCCATTATATTTGTTTATTATTCTCAAATTTAGTATATAAATTGATTTACTCAAGAAGATAATGCAATAAAATTGAAACGCTTCAGCCCAAACGGATTATTGCTCATCTCCATTGGATTTCTCCACTAAACAAACCACCAACGTCACCAACACAGACATGCTTGTAAACTGAGGTACACTTAAAACAAAACAAACCAAGTACCGTATTTTATAATTTTTAATTTTGTTACCCCGAATGAAGTCGGGTATTACAGTTAGCT